CCGAAAATCACGTTTTTCAGTACTTAATTGTTCATATCTTTTGAACCGTTTGAGTCTCCAACTTGAAATTTTATACAGACCTTTGTTATTAGATTACCTTTCGATTGAGATAGCTTCTAACGAAATCGAAGGGGGCAAACTTGCCGAAAAATTGGCTTAACTTTGAAGTCAATTTTCTCCATGAAAATTAACTTTTTTCGAAAAACTGATACCACCATTGGAAAGAACTGACAAAAATCTATCGGAACGCATGTGTGCAATATTTTTCCAGGCCCAATTGCACCAGCCACGGCGAGTTAGAAAAGTTGCGATACATTAAAAATGCCCCGCGCGAGCGCACTGTCTGGTTGAGCGTGGAATACGTCATATACCTTGCTATTATCTAGTTAACTTTCAGACTCTTTTAATGTTTGTTTTTTTTCAAATCGTTTCTTTTCGAAATGAAAAATTTGTTAGTTCGATTTTAACCTTTTAACGCCTGAAATGACTATTTTTTGACAGCATTGATAGCGATGAATTACACCGACTAAAAAATGTTTAAAAAACTTTTCAGATAACATTTCATACGTAAAATTTGATGTACTTTTCGAATCTTGGCGCAAGATGTATTTCAAAAATGCATTTTTTTCACACTCAGATACAGTTTTCAATTGGTACCTTATGAATTTTGTTCACAACATATTAAGACGCTCTCACAAGGCGAATGCAAAAGACTGCATCTCGATATGTCTTACTGTTTAAAAAACGAAAGGTCCATTGATTCATTCTCTAGACTATAAACAATTTAGTTGAGATAAAAACTATATTACATGATTATTTAGCCCATATCTTACCTTCAAAATGAGATGTCGATAAGCTCGATCGCACTAATACGAGCCAAGTTACAGAAGTTAAACGACAAAAACAGGAGGTATCCCTATAAATTTTACAATAATTATTGCATAACTTTTTTTAGTGAACTGGTTATCCATTTACATACCATAATATCTTTGTTTTTTTTACCAGAAAACAGAGTGATATGAATTTGCTTATAACTTTATATGGATAATTTTTTGAAAAAATTAAATGTGCATTAGGAAAAACGGATTGAAAAAACACTTTTGATGTTCATGACTTTGTTATTTACTGAAAATTATAAATTATTTTTGAGTAAGAAATTATATAAGTCACTTTTAAAAAATGTACGCACATTACTTCAATAGATTTTGTTCGTATAAATTGTAGTTCGTTAGAGTCTATCTCAAGGCCTCTCAAGTAATTTCGAATTGTTTTTAAAAATTCACTTTTTCGTATAAAAATTAGGCATTCAAAAAATTGTCTAGCTGCTATAACTATATTATCGTTTTGTTCTTTCTGTTCTGGGAAACCGCGCAATTTATTATAAATCTTTTTCGCCTTCACGTGGCTACAATGATATATTTTTCTCAGTTCTTCATCGTCCAATTCAGGAAACAAAATATAATCAATGCATCCCACAAGAAGTACGGCGTCATTGATGCGATATAAATTTACAGTTTTCAAATAATCCATTGTAAAACTTAGAATCGTACTTTTAAACGTGTCTAAATATTTTGACGGAGGTGGATGGTTTACATATCTGTTCATCCCATCACGCAATATAGTCGTCAAAACATTTTTATCCTGTAATTGTTCTTCTTCAATTTCGTTATCATTTAAATAATTTACCAGATTAATGATAACCTCAGCATTCGGTCTTGCAAGAAAATATTCTCGATTTATTGGAATTGGCACCATTTTTTCAGTGTGACGAATGCTCCGATACCGATGAAATATTATATTCAAAACTATTGGATGTTTGATAAATATTATAAATATTTTACTAAGAATGGATTAATCAATGTTCCACAATTTTATTTTTAAGATCCGAAAACAATCACAGTTTTATTAATACTAACAATTATACAAACTAGCGAATTACCTAGCTCGTTCACGCTCGCTCGTACAAATGTCAAATCGGACTCATGTCAACATCGAGTTTTCGCGCTATTACACATATGGATATAAATATAACAGTCCAAGTATACAAATACAGGAACATACTTTCAAAATGTCACATAGTTATTTAACACACTCTCAATAAAATGTTTCAGTTTAGAAAATCGCAATTTCGCCTTATGTCTAGCTTTCTTAACCCGTTAATGCCAAAACGGACAGAATTTTTTTCTCTATTGTAGTATGCAATTAAATCATTTTATCGGAGCGACAAAAATTTTTGAGTACTCATTTTCTATGTAAAATTTAATGTACTTTTTGAATATGGGTTTATAATTAACCTCTGATTAATATTAAAAAAAGTTATAAACAATTTACTGCGAAAAAACACGATTTTGAAACTTGAAAAAAAAATTTGAATCAAAGTTTAAATTTTACATAGAAAATGAGTACTCAAAAATTTTTGTCGCTCCGATAAAATGATTTAATTGCAGACTACAATAGAGAAAAAAATTCTGTCCGTTTTGGCGTTAACGGGTTAACTAGTGTCGAAAGTTATGTACCTGCTTTACCAATCTTTATACAAACATTTACACGTATAATAGACTGGAAGCAAAAAAAAAATTATTTTTATTTTGCCCGGACCAAACGGAAAAGTGATCTTTTTACCAAAAAAATAGTCTGTGCAAAATTTTAGCTCATTTAAATTGAGACAACCCGTGTCCCAGTCGCTTGAAGGTTTTTAAATTCGATTTAAATTAATTTTTACCGCTTCTTTACAGTATTATTCAAATGGCTCTGTAGCCGTCAATTTTTAAGCAAATCAAAATTCAAACCTGTCAAATTAAAGGTCTTAAAAAGACCTTTAACTTGCTCTTTTCAAAATTTTTATTGCTTCAAAATTAACTGCTGTAGAGCCATTTGAATATTGCTAAAAAATGGAAAAAAATCGCAATTTTTCTAGTTTTCTAATAGCTGAGGTTCACTCGGAGAAACACCAATTTTACCTTAACTCCGGGGTATTTTTTCGTGTGTAATATTTGTGTTTAAATTTGTGGCACAAGTAAAACTCGTGATAGATAAATAAACAGAAAGTGTAGCGAAAAAACAGGCCGCGGTGCTGGAAAAGGGCGACCGGACGCTCTTTCCTTCTTCACCGCTCGAGAAAATAAAAAAAGTTCCTGTCTACGAGTCATTTCTTGTGTAAAATCGTGAGATCTTTCGATTTAGCTACTCAGAAAGTTAATCGGAGTTGAACTCTGGAAGTTACAATGTGTTTTATCTTCAAGTCCATTTTTTGAAGTTATGGAGGCATATTTTTGCACTTTCGACCTCTAAAGAATAAAGCTGAGGTAAAAACCTTTCAAAAACGTTGGTTTATTTTTTTGAATTTTATTTAAGCCTTTACGAGTGTGTGGTAAACTGAGCAATTTGGCCGTTTTCGCTGCCCACGCGTGGCACTGGGGCATTATTCGCGTTTTTACCCATACACAAATAGTACTTTACGATACTAGTGGAATAAATAACACTTTTTGGCACGGCGTAGTTTAGGGCCTGAGCACAGCGAGGATCCTAATAGCTGGGCCGAAAAGTGTCCCCTATGTCACGAGTATCGTACAACAATATATAGCACTGTGCTAAGTTGACATTTATGCCCCCTTTTCCGATGCATAAGTCGTACTTTCTGGTAACGCAAAGTGAGGTTAGCGCACGAGCGTATGCAAGTGTGATGCGAACGCAGCGCTGCCAGAATGTGCGACTTATGCCACCGAAAAGCGTGCCATAAATGTGAACTTATGGCACGCAGTGCTATAAAATATATAATTAATGTCAAATGAAGAGAAGTAAATTTTTACTTCCATTATGAAATAAAAAAAGAAAAAAAATATTACCAAATGTGGGTCATTCAATAATCTGTTCGTTGACGGAGTACATGGAAAATCCTTGAAAACTGATGAATTTTTCAATATTAAGATTGGTGTCTCTGAAAAACGAATAGTTGATACAGTAACACTTCGATAATTTGAACTTCGATGATTCGAAACTCTCGATAATTCAAATTCAAGCTCTGTTTTTAGCGTTTTCGATGTAAAATCAACGATCATTTACCTGGATAATTCGCACAATATCATAATTCGAAATTTGGATAATTCGAAATGAAAAACTGAAAGTGGTAGAGTGAACTTCTATGAATCGGCCGTGGCTTGGATGACATCGCTCGATCCAATTTTAAATGAAAACGAGCCAAGAAATATTTTTAATGCAGATTTGTTCGTTGACGGAGTACATGGAAAATCCTTGAAAATTGATGAAATTTTCAATATTTAGATTGGTATCTCTGAAAAACAAATAGTTGATATATCGTATGTCCACGATAAAGCGCGCTCTTTTGAAATGGTCTTACCGAGATAGATCAATGAACAGGAAAAATTTTCTTTTCTTGATATTACATCGTTTCAACACAAATATTAGAGTCGTGGGCCGAAACGATTTTAGTCAATGCAAACGCTATTTATGTATCTTATTGAAAACTGGTTCGAAGCTGAGTGTAGATCGATCTTTGAGAAAATATATACACATATGTATTCGTACACATATGTGTATGAAATACCTACTAACCATCATGTACGGAGAGAAAAAAAATATATATAATATATACTATTATAATATATACTATATTCTACTAACCATACATGTGTTTATCATATATATTATAATATATATATTATATATTTTTTTTCTCTCCGTACATGATGGTTAGTAGGTATTTCATACACATATGTGTACGAATACATATGTGTATATATTTTCTCAAAGATCGATCTACACTCAGCTTCGAACCAGTTTTCAATAAGATACATAAATAGCGTTTGCATTGACTAAAATCGTTTCGGCCCACGACTCTAATATTTGTGTTGAAACGATGTAATATCAAGAAAAGAAAATTTTTCCTGTTCATTGATCTATCTCGGTAAGACCATTTCAAAAGAGCGCGCTTTATCGTGGACATACGATATATCAACTATTTGTTTTTCAGAGATACCAATCTAAATATTGAAAATTTCATCAATTTTCAAGGATTTTCCATGTACTCCGTCAACGAACAAATCTGCATTAAAAATATTTCTTGGCTCGTTTTCATTTAAAATTGGATCGAGCGATGTCATCCNACGATCTACTGGTAGTTGAGCAATGACGTTAGCTGCCTTTTCTTCACTGAAAATTATAAATTATTTTTGAGTAAGAAATTATATAAGTCACTTTTAAAAAATGTACGCACATTACTTCAATAGATTTTGTTCGTATAAATTGTAGTTCGTTAGAGTCTATCTCAAGGCCTCTCAAGTAATTTCGAATTGTTTTTAAAAATTCACTTTTTCTTATAAAAATTAGGCATTCAAAAAATTGTCTAGCTGCTATAACTATATTATCGTTTTGTTCTTTCTGTTCTGGGAAACCGTGCAATTTATTATATATCTTTTTCGCCTTTACGTGGCTACAATGATATATTTTTCTCAGTTCTTCATCGTCCAATCCAGGAAACAAAATATAATCAATGCATCCCACAAGAAGTACGGCGTCATTGATGCGATATAAATTTACAGTTTTTAAATAATCCGTTGTAAAAGTAATAATTGTACTTTTAAACGTGTCTAAGTACATGGACGGAGGTGGTTGGTTCATATATCTTTTCATCCCATCACGTATTATAGTCCTCAGAACATTTTTATCCTCTAATTGTTCTTCTTCAATTTCGTTATCATTTAAATAATTTACCAAATTAATGAGAACCTCAGCATTCGGTCTTGTAAGAAAATATTCTCGATTTATTGAAGTTGGCCCCATTTTTTCAGTGTGACGAATGCTTCGATACCGATGAAATAATATATTTAAAACGGTTTGATGTTTGATGAATATAATAAATATTTTACTAAAAATGGATTAATCAATGTTCCACAATTTGATTTTTAAGATCCGAAAACAATCACAGTTCTATTAATACTAACAATTATACAAATGTAAAATCAGACTCACGTCAACATCGAGTTTTCGCGCTCTTACACAGATGGATATAAATATAACAGTCCAAGTATACAAATACAGGAACATACTTTCAAAATGTCACATAGTTATTTAAACTCTCAATAAAATTTTTCAGTTTAGAAGATCGCAATTTCGCCTTATGTCTAGCTTTCTTAACTAGTGTCGGGAGTTATCTACCTGTTTTATCAATCTTTATACAAACATTTACACAGATACCCAAAATTCGATCTGGAGACATAGCATGCGGATTTTAAAAGCGCATCGATAATGAGTTGCATGTTTCAAGATACGCATTAAGATAGACCGGGCCGATTTTGCATCGATATTTATTAGGGTGTCCGTTATTTCCCAAACATTAAAAATCCTTGCTTCAGACATTGATATAACTTTTTAGTGATATAAAAACATATTTAGTACGGTTTATAACCCATAGGCACAAGTTTAAACCGTGCCTTAAAATTAAAATCGATATTTACATTTAACCGATTAACTCTTAGAATGTATAGCTTTAAAGTGGAATTTTTTCTACGTTGAGGGCTTTGAGAAAACTTTGAAATTACATAGTTTAACGTAGAATTTAATGACTTTTTCAAATCTTGTATCTAATTTGAAATCCGACGTTTGAACATGAAAAAATGAAAAAATCTGTGCAAAACACCGAGAATTTTTATGTAACACAATATCTTCATTCGCGAAAAACAATCCCTGGGTAAATCATATGTGATATGTGCACGCATTTGTGATATGAGATTTTCTATAAAGTCCGATGTACCCAGAAGGTGTCATCGACAATAGTTCTAATTTTTTTAGTAGAGCTAGATTTCATGCCGTAAAATTTATTATAGTATTTTACATTTTAGCGAGCTTGCATGATGAAAAAAGTTATATGCAAGTTATACGCATCGTCTTCACCCTGAATGAAGTATGGAATTTTCACTGGATTTACTTATATACTTACTTAAATTTTGAATCAGAAATGTGCATAGTATATACACTGTATACCAATCCAGAAACTTATGCTGATGCTCAGTAATCAAATAATAATGCTAATAAGGCTATAACAAGTAAAAACAATTAAAAAAAGTCAGAAAATTAAATCTCTCAAGTGTTGAATTTAATCTCAATTGTAAAAAAATAAACGAATTATTACTTTTTGGGTATTTCAATGCAAGTGAAATTGATGTTATTTTCAATTTAAATTATTTTTTAAAATGTGCAAAATAAAAATATTGTCAAACTAATTTTCGTTAAAAGAAAAAATATTTCAATTATTGAAGTTTTGGTTTTCGAGGAAGGGCTTGACATAAATGACGAGATATTTGAATACGGTTTATGTGGTTTTATTTATTATTTTCTTAGAAAAATCGTAATTACAATATCATCACATATAGGCTTCACGTGAAAAAAAAAGGAACTAAACAATTCAAAATTACATTGACTATTTCGATGAATTACACTCGCTCGGATCTTCTACAATCACACTCGCTCTATATTGCTATCGACGCAATAATTTGAAATAAAGGCTAAGAAAGAAATGCATACATTACGTGCAAGAGAGTCATACAACGATGAATTTTTATCTTAAAAATGAAAATACAATGATCGAGAACTTAAAAAAACTAAATAAAAAAAATTGAAAGATATCTAGATTGAACTTATTTCAAGCCGCAGCTTATTTCTTCTGCTCGACCTTCTTGTCGGCCGCTGCGGGCGCGGCGTCGCTCTGCTGCTTGAGGGCCGGCTTGCCCGTGTGCTCGATCTTGATGACCTTCTCGTTCTTGGCCTTGGGCTGCTCCTTCCTCGGCGCCTGGATGGACAGCACGCCGTCCGAGGACAACTTCGACACGACCTGGTCGATGTCGCACTGCTCCGGGATCAGGTACTTCCTGGTGAACTCGCGCGAGATCCAGCCGTGCTCGTCGCGCTTCTCCTCGTGCTTGGCCTTGATCACCACGTACCTGTCCACCACCTTGACGTCGATCTCCTCGGGCTTGAACTGCTGCACGTCGAGGGTCACCTGGAACTTGTCCTTGTCGGCCTCGACGGTGGAGACGCCGCCCTGGTCGGCGCCGCGCAACAGCTCGGCCCAGGGCCTCAGATAGTTCGGCTGGTACTGGGCCGAGCGACGGGGCACGTACAGCTCGAGTCGGCGCGGACAGACGAGTTGCTCCGGGTGCAGGCCGAGTCCGAAGTCCTGGTCCAGGATGCGATGGGGTCTGTCGAGATCCTCCCACCAGTCGGAGAACAGCAACGGTACGAGAGACATGATTGACTTTTTTTTTTGTTTTTGTTTGTTAAAACGATTTAACGAAACGATAAACACGCACTTTCGATATTGACACTCGTGTGTAGATTTGTGTAGAGACAAGCTTGGTAAGAAAGCTTGGAGTTTAGCTTTAGCTTTAGCCTTTGCTAAGAGATGCTTACGCTTTGACTGTTTGTTTGATACTGACGGCCAAGCGCAAGCGCCCCGGCTTATATAGCGAACAGCTGATATTCGCCGGCTTTCTAGAACGTCCCGAAGCGTCTCCACCTTTCCAAACAAATCCAGGCCCTTGGATGCAGTTCGAAAAATTGCGAATTATCGTGCGAATCAATTAGATTTTGATTTTTCATGCATCTAAATGTTATTTACCACGCATTTGATCAATTGATTCAATGGGAAACTCGAATTTAACTGTCAAACGTCAAAGTTTACGTGCATTTCAAATGTCAATGAGTTTTACAACTTTGAAAAATTCACTTTTAATGTTTTCAAAGGATTGCATTTTATTTTCACTGAAATTTACTTTTCATTGATGAAAAGTCGAGTGAAAAATAAAGATTATTTTTAATAATATCAATTTTTCAAAAGCCACGCATTTAAACTGTGGTCAAAATAAAGTAATCATGCGCATCTTGAAATATTTTCTCTCAACGAACGCGAATTTTCCAGTTCTATTATTTGTTATTGTTTACCGAGCCGAAACGTCAAATTGTTCTCGAAGCTTCGAGAGCAATCTAGAAGCACATGCCTCAGCTCGTTGCTATACTTGTACAGAAAGTTCTGGACGCGTTGCGAATGTGCGATACTTTTCGCGCATACGCGAGAATGTATTTACCTTTGTCCATAATGATAAAGATGAAATCTGCTTTATCTTTCAGCGGTCGCACGACCGATGGTAAGGTAGATCTCACTGAAAGTATCACTTTATGAATGCGTAGTGCGATAGATGTCAGTATTTTGCAGTGATACAGGCGCATTGTAAATGATTTTTTTTTTTTGAGAGTTTTAGTATAGATTAGGAAAAGTGCCCGCATGAACTTCCATTAAACGCTCACGCGCAATTCGAAAACAATTATAAGAGCTTTAACTAATTTTGAAGAAATTGAAAAAAACATATTTTTGTTGTAATTAACTAGCTAAATGGTTTCCCCCGATGGTTGTTTAAAATGTCGTTACCAATCACGTCTCTCTTGGTAGAAACATTTAGTCTGACCACAAATTAATCAAGATTTTTCACTCATTTTTCACGTATTTGATCAATTCGGGATCGCACTTCATCTCATGAGGTTTATCAAAAATCCAGTAGCCAACTAAATGCTCACCAGTTCCAAACGAGATGTGAAAAAAATTCTTGGTTGATTGTTTCATGCTGGATCCGAGTAGCAAATAAATGAACGAAGAATAGCGTAAATAGCGAAAATAGTCGTTTGGTTTAGAAATAAAAGATCGACCACGACTGTGAACAAAAGTTTATAATGATGGTTGATAGCACGAGAATCCAATAATATACAATTATCATTTCAGCACAATTTTATTAAAATGTTTTGGAAAAAATATGTACAAATATCTATAAATATTTATAATTTTCAATCATTACTTCCTCACCTACAAGTCGAATAATTGATCATTATAACCTTAGTGAACTGCAATTTGGTGTCTGAACAAATTACTTCGTTGTCCAAATTTCTTCTCGCACTTGTCGCATGCATAATCTTTGCGACCTCCATGAATTGTCTTTTGATGGGTGAGTAAATTACTTTTGAGTCCGAATTTTTTTTCGCACTTGTCACACGCGTAATCTTTGCGACCTTCGTGTACAGTCTTCTGATGGGATAGCAAATGCGGTTTTTGTCCGAATTTCTTTTCACACCTGTCACACGCGAAATCTTTCTGACCTTTGTGTACTTTTATTTGGTGCCCGATCAAATCGCGTTGTCTTGCAAATTTTTTCTCGCACTTGTCGCATGCGTAATCTTTACGACCATCGTGGACTGTATTTTGATGCGAAATTAATGTACTTTTATGTCCAAATGATTTTTCGCAGTTGACGCATGTGTAATCTTTCCGACCTTCGTGTATTATCCTATGATGCTTCCAAAAATTTGATATAGTTCCAAATTTTTTCTCGCATTTATGACATGCGATATCTTTCTGACTTTCGTGTACTGTCTTTTGGTGCTTAAGCAAATTCGATTTTTGTCCAAATTTCTTCTCGCATTTATCGCATGCAAAATTTTTGCAACCCTCGTGAATTGCCTTTTGGTGTGTAAGCAAATGCGATTTTTGTCCAAATTTTTTCTCGCATTTATCGCATACGTAGTCTTTGCGACCTTCGTGTATTATCCTATGATGCTTCCAAAAATTTGATATAGTTCGAAATTTTTTCTCGCATTTATGACATGCGATATCTTTCTGACTTCCGTGTACTGTCTTTTGGTGCGTAAGCAAATTCGATTTTTGTCCAAATTTACTCTCGCATTTGTCGCAAGCATAATCTTTAGGACCCTCATGGGCTGTTGTCATGTGCAAGACTAAATTTCGCTTATTTGCAAATTCCTTTCCAGAGTTGTTACATAAGTAATCTTTAAAGACTTTGACGGTGAAATCTTTTTGACCCTCGTGCACTGTCTTTATGTGCTTGATCAAACTGTGTTTAGTTTCAAATCTCTTCGCACACTTTTCACATAAGTAATCTCGAAATACTTCGTGGAATATTTTTTTGTGCTTGAGTAAAGTTGATTTATTTTCAAATTTTCTCTCACACTTCTTGCAAATGAAATCTGCATAATCTTTGTGTACTAATTTTTGGTGAGTTAACAAACTTGATGTTTTCAAAAATTTCTTCTCGCACTGGTCGCATGCAAAATCTTTGCGGCCTTTGTGTACCGATATTTGGTGTCTACTTAAATGACTTCGGAACTCGAATTTCTTTTCGCACTTGTCACATGCGAAATCTTTTCGCTCATTGTGAGTTGTGTCTCGGTGTGCGATCATACTTGATTCTAATGTAAATGCCTCGTGGCAAATGTCGCAAACGTACTTTTCGTCATCCGAAACAACAATGTCGTTTTCACATGAGTTATCTTTTGAAACGATTTCCTCGAATTTCTTCTTACTTTTATCCATTTTGACGCCTAATATCAATGATGAGGTTTTCTATTTATTGACACAGAAATTAAATGAGTAAAATGTATCTATTTGGAGTTACGGAAATTGTTTCGTCGAGAAAGACAATCTAATTTGTTTTTCCTCTAAATATGATCGGTAATCGAAGATATAGGTAAAAATCGCTCATGATCTCCTTGTTTACAATTAAATTGCTGATTCATCCGTTTGTACATTGTTTTTACAACATTTGAAACAATTTAAAATTTCTATTCAGTGATACTTTCTGTGATTGAATTTTTGGGTCTATAAAAACTAAATCGTTCTTTCGAAAAAACTCTCGACAGTCAACATAGATTTCATAAAAAATGTCTAGTAAATAATAACCACATGTACATAGACGTTCGGAGTGTAGCCGTTATACGGGGGCTGATTGGCTAAGCCTTGTGTGACGAATTTCAATATTATTACTCATGAACTAATGCAAAAACAATAAAGTATGTTGCAGTTATAGTTATATTAATAAATATTTATGTCGGTAATATACAATTATCATTTCAGCACAATTTTATTAAAATGTTTTGAAAAACATACGTACAAATATCTATAGATTATTTACATTTGTCAATCATCATTTCCCCACGTACTTGTCGAATAATTGATAATGATAACCTTTATGAACTGTAATTTGGTGCCTGAACAAATTACTTCTTTGTCCAAATTTCTTCTCGCACTTGTTGCATAGGTAAACTCTTCGATCTTCGTGGACTAACCTTTGGTGCTTCAACAAATCCGATTTTTGTCTAAATTTCTTTTCACATTTGTCACGTGCAAAAATTTTGCGACCTTGGTGGACAGTTGCTATATGTGAGAGCAAATTACGATTATTTACAAATCTTTGCGACCTTCGTGGACGGTTTTTTGGTGCTGTATCAGATGCCATTTTTTCCAAATTTTTTCTCTCATTTGTCACATGCGTCAAACTTGCGACCGTCGTGTACATTCCTTTGGTGGTAAAGCAGACTCGGTTTTTGTGTAAATTTCTTTTCACACTTGTCACACGTGAAATCTTTCCGACCTTCATGGAGTGTCCTTTGGTGAACGAGCAAACTCGATTTATGTCCAAATTTCTTTTCGCACTTGTTACATGCGAAATCTTTGCGACCTTGGTGGACAATTGTTATATGTGAGAGCAAATTAAGACTATTTACGAATTTTTTCCCGCAATAATTACATGCAGAATCTTTGCGACCTTCGTGTATTGTCTTATGGTGTCTGATTAAAGCACTTTGTCGTCCAAACTTTTTCTCGCACCTATCGCATGCATAATCTTTTCGACCATCATGTACTGTATTTTGGTGTCTAGTCAAATCTATTGATGTTCCAAATACCTTCTCGCACTTGTCGCATGCGTAATCTTTGCGACCTTCATGAATTGTCTTTCGGTGGGCGAGTAAATTACTTTTGACTCCGAATTTTTTTTCGCATTTGTCACACGCGTAATCTTTGCGACCTTCGTGTACAGTCTTTTGATGGGTTAGCAAATGGGGTTTTTGTCCAAATTTTTTCTCGCACACGTCACACGCGAAATTTTTCTGACCTTTGTGTACTGTTCTTTGGTGCCCGATCAAATCGGGTTGTCTTGCAAATTTCTTCTCGCACTTGTCGCATGCGTAATCTTTACGACCATCATGGACTGCCTTTTGGTGCGAAATTAATGTACTTTTATGTCCAAATGTTTTTTCGCACTTAACGCAGGTGTAATCTTTACGATTTTCGTGTACTGTCCTGTGGTGCAAAAGTAAAGTCGATTTTTGTCCAAATTTCTTTTCGCATTTATCGCATGCGATATCTTTCTGACTTTCGTGTACTGTCTTTTGGTGCGTAAGCAAATTCGATTTTTGTCCAAATGTACTCTCGCATTTGTCGCATGCATAATCTTTACGACCCCCATGGGCTGTTGTCATGTGCAAGACTAAATTTCGCTTATTTGCAAATTCCTTTCCAGAGTTGTTACATAAGTAATCTTTAAAGACTTTGACGGTGAAATCTTTTTGACCCTCGTGCACTGTCTTTATGTGCTTGATCAAACTGTGTTTAGTTTCAAATCTCTTCGCACACTTTTCACATAAATAATCTCGGAATACTTCGTGGAATATTTTTTTGTGCTTGAGTAAAGTTGATTTATTTTCAAATTTTCTCTCGCACTTTTTGCACGTCAAATCCTCGCGACTTTTGTGGACTAATTTTTGATGCATAAATAAACTCGATTGTTTCATAAATTTCTTCTCGCACTGGTCGCATGCAAAATCTTTGCGGCCTTTGTGTACCGATATTTGGTGTCTACTTAAATGACTTCGGAACTCGAATTTCTTTTCGCACTTGTCACATGCGAAATCTCTTCCCTCATTGTGAGTTGTGTCTCGGTGTGCGATCATACTTGATTCTAATGTAAATGCCTCGTGGCAAATATCACAAACGTACTTTTCGTCGTCTGAAACAACAATGCCATGTTCACTTGAATTATTTTTCGTGACAATTTCGTCGGATTTCTTCTTACTTTTATCCATTTTGGGGCCTAATATCAATGTTGGGTCCTTCTAGTTATTGATACAGAAATTAAATGAGTAAAATGTACCTAGTTGACGTTATGGTCAACTAGGTATGTTTCGTCAAGAAAAGCAATATTTAAATTAATTTGTTTTTAATATAAACATCAACAGTAAGTTGAAGGTATATAACAAGATTGTTTATGATCTTATTATTTACAATTAAATTGCCGATTCATCCGTTTGTACATTGTTTTTACAACATTTGAAACAATTTAAAATTCCTATTCAGTGTTAATTTCTGTGATTGAATTTTTGGGTCTATAAAAACTAAATCGTTCTTTCGAAAAAACTCTCGACAGTCAACATAGATTTCATAAAAAATGTCTAGTAAGTATAACCACATGTACATACACGTTTGAAGTGTAACCGCTATATGTGGGCTGCTTGGGTAAGCCTTAAGTGATAAATTTCAGGATCATTACTCATGAACTAATGCAACAATAATAACGTATGTTGCAGTTACAGTTATATTAATAAATATTTTTGTAAAGTATGTTACTGAATATAATTTGACCGATAACATATAATTTATCTCTTTCGATAATTATTTTGTGATAAGTTGTTAAGCAAAAAATTTAAACCATACCATGGTACATATTTTGACCAACAATCAATAAATTATGATTTTACTTCACCAAAAGTCGGTACACTAGATCGTACGCTACAAGCTGTTTGTAATAAACCATTTAAACCATATTTAAACCATATTTAAACCTATTTAAACCATACCATGGCACATATTTTGACCAACAATCAATAAATTAAAATTTTACTTCGGCAAAGGCAGTACACTAGATCGTATGCTGTAAGCTGTTTGTGATAATTTGTTGAGCGAAAAATTTAAACCATACCATGGTACATATTTTAACCAACAATCGATAAATTAAAATTTTACTTCAGCAAAAGTCGGTACAGTAGATCGTACGCTACAAGCTGTTAAACCATACAATGGTACATATTTTGACCAACAATCAATATATTAAAATTTTACTTAGGCCAAAGTCGGTACACTAGATCGTACGCTACAAGCTGCTGGTAATGTGGAAATTTTAGAGACATACAAATGCAACGATCATCGACTGAAACTTATTTATTATATTCCTCAGCTAGTTTATTAAAAATTCAAAAGACCCACGGTCCCATGTGCACGTGCGAAACTTTTCTACTCGATTAATAAAAAAAAATTGGAATTTTGGAATCGAAAAATCAAGAACGATTTCAATCAGTTCGTACACGTTCTACACTAGACGCGTTAATTTCCTCGCTCGCATGATTTTCTAATCTAATTAATTAAAGACGAAAATGGGAGATCCGAAAAATAAGGTATTCTAGGCTTTCACTAGTGTGGCTCAACGCGAGTATTGAACATATTCCCTTCGTTATTAAGTACGACGGACTTTGTTTCGGTATCGAATCGCGCGCGGTCATCCCTCATGGAATTCCAACTTTTGCGACGCGAGAGAATCTCAAATGCACGCGTGTGGTGGATATAATTCGGTGGTTCGCGCGCGCGAACAATCATCGCGACTGTCCGAAAATTAACTAAAACCCGAAAGCGAAATACTTCGGATGTCTCGGGTTAAAATATGCCCGATATTATGTACATCGTCGAACAACGCGCACCATTTCTTTTTCTATCATTATAAATCGAAACGATGTAGCCGCAGCGAAGTCTGCTATTTTTCATATAGAATCTATACCGTGCGGTATTTCGACGAGTTACACGAGTTCCAAAAATTTCCTCCTAATAACGATATTTCGCAGGGGCGCGCTCATTATTGCGCACAGAGCCGCGAGCATCTCGCGCCTGGGTCATATGCAAATCCGCAAAATTTCTCACCTTTGCCTTCTCTCTCTCTCTCTCTCTTGGAGAAACTAAAATTGCAAGACATTGTTTAGTCGGCGGCGACGTCGACGAAAAAGCTCTCCTTCGCGCTCGTGCTCGCGTATATAGGAGACAAAAAACGAGCTCTCTGCAGGCGCGAGAGTATACGAAACTTTACTCTCGCGGCAGGCGCGAACTTTGTCTCAGGCATATACATTGTGCATGGGGGACTGTAGTATCGTTATACCGAGGAGCGAGAGAAAGAAAGAGGTTTTACCACTGCCTGCACACGCTGCACTGATTCTTCTTCTTCTTCGTTCTTCTTCTTCTTCTTCTTCCAGGGAGGGAGGATTCAGGCAGCGGTACACTTTTAACTCGTCGTCGTCTCGCGCGAGGGTATACTACCACCGTACCAGCACCCGCCGGGACACAATGTAAAATTAATTATAATTAGGCTCCATTCAGCTTGACTTTCCGTTTTCGACCCGCCCTACGGCTCTATACCTACCTACGCCTTGAGCCGAAAGTTCGGCTGTATGTTTTGCCGCGAGCTTCGTTAATTAACTGACAACTCGACACGCATTAATGGGACAGGCTGCTGCTGCTGCTGCCAGACACAGAGAGCAGTACAGTAACAACTCGGACGATTATGTTCCTCGGCTGCTTTTTCTCGTCCTTATAACTGCTCCATCCCTTAACGTTATAGTAATACGTGTAGGCAAGAGCTGTACATGGAGGTGCAGTTGTCGTTGAATTATGCCGCCGCGGTACAAACTTTCATCTCTCGTTTTATATATTACAGAGTATGTGCAATTATTAATGTAACTTTCGATATAGTTTTTTATTTATTTATTTTTTTGTAGTAATGCGGCATAGACATTTAACGGCGTGGACGACACTTTTCAGCGATTCTATATCTTGTTAATCATCATCTTCTTTTTTTTCTCTCCGTCTTTTGTCCTTTATTCGACTCCTCTTCCCCGGTTACTTTCTTTCTCGTCCTTCTTATTCGCCGAGTACTTCTTTTAATTAAGAAAATATACGTGATGTGCCTACGCGAGCGAGCTGCGTGCAGGTTCTCTCTCTCTTCTCTTCTCTTCTCTTCCGAGGCCCCGGGTTTTCTTGGCCCCGAGTTGCGCGTGGCACAGCGCCTATATACGTGTACTATTTTTTTTTCTTCCTTCTTTTTCCTCTCTCCCTCTCGCTCTCTCTTTTATTTAGCCGTATGTAATGCGCGCAACGGCATGGCTTCGAGCTCATATATATATACGCGCGTGCACCGATGCTCGATCTCATCCCCCCCTGCACCACCGCCGTATTTACCAGGTGAAGTTTTTGAGTATTCTCGGCGTTGAGTCAATCGAGTTCGAGGGTGCGGAGGGCGAAGAAGAAGAAGAAAAGCGAGAGGTATTGGTGCTTAGCCCGATTCTTCGAGAAAAACTTGTATGTGTGTACGCGTTTCCCCCCGCAAGTTGATCTCACTGTGTTTTTTTTTCTCTTTTCAAACTCTAATTCAAACCTAACGAATAAAAAAAGAAAATAATTCACGAATCGTTGACATTCTCAAAAACGATGAGTCGAGATTTTGCAAATTTAATACACGCACTAATTACTTATAATATAAAAATGTATTCCACGGACTTTTCTGCATGAACTGCTGCTGCAGCTGCGAACTAAAAAAAAGCTAACTGGTTTTCCACACTTTGGTCAAATACAAGCTCCAGCGTATCGCATCGGGCGCGTACAATAAACAAAAGGATCCCTCCTCCGAAAGGCCGCTCTAATTCGCTTCATAGGGTATATATAACTGGGTCGGCCTGCAGCGGCGGGTATAGTGTGGCGACGTCGAGAAAACACACGGGGCGGTGTATATATAATAATGGGGTAATTGTTATGCCGGGGCACGGTGCAGCAGCAGCAGCGTCGGATCGGAAACGCTTATCGCTGATAAGACACGGCTCGTAATATGCGGCCTGCAGCCTCGGATGTACTTAGCTCTCACGGTGCCAAAGTCTTTTGCGAGCGCCCCTTTTCCAGCCGCGTTGCGTACACACACACACACACACATAGACACATATACTGTGTGGTGTATGCATACCCAGCAGAGAGAGAGAGAGAGCGAAATTTCGTATATATAGCGCGCGAAACTTTTTGCCTCGCAGCTTGCGCAGCTTATTATATTATATGCCACTGCGGATATACATATATAGATATATATGTAATATACAATATCGTGTAATAATAATGCGCTTTTCGAGCGTATATACATAGACTTTTAATGGAGTGCTACGCGGTGGATAAGAGTGTATATTATGGGAGCCGGTTCGCGCGGTTTTTAGGTATAAGCCGTGAATTTATACATTGCAGCTACTGCTGCTGCTGCTGCTACCGCAATCTGTTGATTCGCTTTTATATTTGCGCGCCTGATAAGCGCGCTAATCATCCGTACTCGTGATGTGATATAGGAACAATTTTTCCGAACCTCGAGAACGCGAAAAGCCCCTCGCGCGCGCGTGCCTGACTAATTAAAACGAAATTCCGCCGATCGTTGTCGATACCGCGTTGAACTCGAGCGAAGTGCGAGTGAGGTGTGTGGTCGGCGTTGTACACGTTTAGTATCTCGCATCGCTCGCAATAATAATGTTTTGCTTACTCCGTACGGAGGAAGCTATGTGACGAGTTTGAGTATGAGTCTTTGAACCAGTACCTTGTAGGACAATTTGGTTTACAGATTATAGATTGAATTCGTAACACGTGTCTGTATGCGTATGTAACGTGAGTAACGTGTGTAGAGTATTATGTTGACAATGGGACGGTGAATCTTATTGAATTAAATGTCATTTATTGTCAAATGTATCAAGAAGGGGAGGGCGGGGGGTTATAGTATTTTTCGAAAAAATTTTCGATATTTTTTCTTATTCGATTCTATATATATTCAAGAGTATTCAGTTGAAATTTTAAGCCAATCCGAGCAAAATTAACTAAGATATGATCATTTTAAAAAAGTGCACTTTTTCGTTTTTTTCCTATTTTTTCAACTTCCAAGTCACACCAAATTTTCCATATGCAAATATTTAAAAAAACTCGACGTCAGTACCTTCAGATCCTCTGAACTAAAAAAAAATGTTATTGGGCTTGTTTCTGATGATTCTGCGAGGAGTTATCGTGTACACTGCATCTTTCGACGGGTTTTTTTTTCAAACCGTTGCCACAGGTTCATTTTTCCATATTTTTCAACAAAAATTTAACTGAATACTTTTGAAGTGATGCTTTTAGGGTACAAATCGATATTAGTACATTTTTATTACTAGATTGCAAAAAATAAATCTCAAAAATGAGCAAAAATAATTAAAAATTAACTATAAAAAATATGTATAACAAATCAGCTGCATGAAAACATAATTTTGACGTATAGGAGTACCTGATATAACCCGGTTTCTTATAACGCTATTCACTCTATAACGAGGTTTGTCGAATGCGCTGACTCCTCATGTAACGCGGATTTATCTAGCAATGTTCATTGTTTACGCATAACGCTTTTTTTAATAACCTATTTTTTTGATATCGGTATACACGTATATTTTCGGAGAATTTTTACGGTTATTTGATTTGTATTTTTATTTTTTCGTAATGGTACTGAATATAGAAAAAATCGCCAAAACCGACGAGAAAAGGCATCAAACTCGCGGAAAAGTTAAAAGTGCTCAATCTTTTGAGAAGTGAAGAACGAGTGGCTATAATTGCTAAACGTTTCAACGTCAATGAATCGACGAAATGCACAATTCGATACTTTTATTAAAGGCTGCATCGACAGAGGTACAACAGATTCAGGGACTTTTTTCAATTTTGTCGTACAGCTAAGAGATAATACGTAGATTTTTGAAATATTTTTTTTCCAGAATCACCAATAGCACTTTTAGAAAACTCTCAAGCAATAAAATTATTACTGAATAAATAGAAAAATACTAAAACTTGAAATCAGCATAAACTAACCAACACTTCGGCCATGTACGACAGACAGAGAATTATTGTTACTTAGCGGCAAAGCGACAGTAATAAATATAATGAAGGAGACAGAGACAACTCGCAAACAGACCTTGTTGGCTGCAACACTGTTAGCAGTAGATGTAGCTGACCGCTGTAATTGATTGTGTACTTTCATAATGGTAACAAAATAAACCAATAGTCCACTGGATGATTTGGGTATATTTTATGTTTCTAAACTAGTTTATGTAATTTCAGTACAACTGTTAAAGTTAGTATCAAGAAACACGTTGCGCAACCACGTAATAAAACGTTAAATGTGTATAACAAACTTGAATAAATTATACAAGAATTGTCTGTTAACAACATTTGAACAAAATTTATAAAGAAGTTACACAAATAGTACGAAAAAATTTCTTGTTAGGATCATCATAAGGATCGTCCTTTTTATAACTTATCCCAGCACAAGAATAATGGTACCATTGTAAACAGTGGTCACAAGAAATAATCTTCTGTTCCGAATTCAAGTAATTCTTACAATATTGTATACTACGCCGTTGCAACAGCAGAGCACACTTTTGTTTATTTTTATAGTACGTAAAAAAGTCGCTAGGGGGCGAGTTTGCAAAAAGCTCGCAACCCGATAACGAACGGTGGCTGAAAATGCTTATTATCCGAGTCGAAATAAAGTTTTTTCATCTCGGACAAACTGATCGATGTCGAAGACAGACGCACGGAGAGAACGTCGTCGTGTGCAACAACGGTGGACACGAGAACGTCGACGTCAGGAGCAGCAGCAGCAGCAGCAGAGACGACTGATCGATCCACGTCCACCCGTGAAAGAGGTTATTTGGCAAGATTTGGAATTGCCCTTACCTCCTTGGTCGAGCCATCATTTTTTAAACCTATAATGGTAGTAACCTTTTCTTTGGGCCGACCTCTTCGTTTATTAAAAGCGAGAAATTGAATCTTGTGACTATATCAAGTTCACTTTTACCCACAATATCACTTAAATGAGAAGTTACTAATAGATTTGGAATAACAGGTTCAATTTCAGCATTATCACTTGATTGGGTGATGCCACATCAGTAATAACAAGTTTGGTTTGAACGTTCTCATTTGATTGGGTGAGTGATGACAAGTCAGCGATAACAGGATCAAAAAGTGCACTTTCTTTTGATTGAACTCAATTCATATTATCATCTGCAATATCTGAAATGATTAAAAAAAAACAATAAAGGACTAATTCTCACAAACTCACTGGTATCATTTCTCTTTACTCTAACATTAAAGCTTTTAAATAAATGAATACCTTTGTAAAATCTATGACGAAAATGCTCCATAACATTAAGCTCTTCTACATCATTACTAAAGGTTTCAACAAGAGACTTTATGAAACTTGGATCATAATCAAGTGATCCCATTGGACTTTCTATCAGTGCAGACTTGAAAATGGGTAAAACTACTGCATCATGACTGACATTATCTGAATTATTACTTTCATCAATAGGTTTGGTTGTCGTGCTAGGCAAGGAGTAAAGAATAAGAGAGCGTGTCCTGGAGATGTCTCTTTATTGACTAACTCTTAACAACTAAACTTATAACTAAATAACAGGTAACAAATTAATTAATCATTTTCCCCCTCTTGCTGCAGCTGAGGCGGCTCGACTGAGGCGCCACATAGGCATTGTTATTCTATGGCTTTGAAGTAAAAATGCTCTTTTACATTTTATATTACATGTTTCAAGAACAAATAAGGATAATTTTTCCACTTTCCTAATTTTAAAAATATGTTTACAAGGTAAACGCACTGAAATGACACGAAAACAACTGCATGATTTCAATGTAACTGTATAACTAACACGATTGCGAGAATTGGATCGGACAATATAATTATCCGTATGAGTTGATTTTTGAAAAAACATTTCTTGTAAAGATAATTCTATTTGCTTCAAAACAATTTTATAAGCATATGGCGTCAAATGATTGTAATATTGAAAATGATCTGACTCCACGTGATAAAATCTTAATAGCACTATCATCTCTTACACAATTATGAAAAATTAAAAAATCAAACTTAGTTGTCAGAAAAGTAGTAAGTGATGAATTCAAAGTAACTACACCTTTGGAATACAGTACAGTACTTCATTAGCAATTGTGTAGAGATGGTTTAAGGTTCAATTGGTCTCACAAAAATGTACGTAAATAAACGAGAATTTTTTTAGATCGACGAGGATGGAATGAGCCGACGATGGTCTCAAAAAATCGATACTCCATTATAAAAACTATCGAATCGGTAGGAATCGTGTACTTAAAAATATCGAGTAAATTATGGGATTCTCAAAAAGAAAGTTTCGATTCAAATTTCGAAACGGTATATGCTGAGCACTCCGTCGGTGGCATTGCAGCTCGCACGCAGTCGCAGTCGATCCAAGTTTTTTTAGTGAAAGTAGCCTTCACAAGTACAACGGCTACACGCATCCCAGTCGTTTTTTTTCTCTCGCGTTGTGCGTTCGTCGTTGGCGGCTCTGCCACCGTGAATTACGATTCGAACGTCTACCACGTGTTCGTACGGTCTAACCACATTTTTTTCCTCGTTTCATAAAGAAAAAGTATCGTCGTGTATCAGAACATATTACGACGCCGCAGCGACTGCAAAAAGTGATTAAAAAGTGAAAAATATTTTTATTTGTGTGGGTAAACGCGAAAAACAATGTCTTCGCCCGAAGACCAACAACTAGTGGAAAAATTAAAGGACTTACGAGACAAGGTTAATTGGAATATCGAAGAAGACCGATATAATTTTCTTGTTCAACACTATCTAATATTCAACGATGTAACACACCGTTTTGAGACACCATTTCCAAATATTCAGCTATATTTGCGTCCCGGAGAGATTCAACGTCTTCTCTGGGACTCCATAAATTACAAGCACGAAGATTTCGGTTATTGTCAAGGCGATGTGTTCATTTCAATGGCTACTGTACATGGCTACAAAGACGAGCCCGAAGTTAATCAGAATGGAATTATCTCGCCGCGTCGCACCACACTAATACATCACTCGGTTAAAAGCTGGGATCCTGAAACCCCCCGTCCTTTGATTATACTGTTACGTCACCTTTTTGAAATATATAACAGGTTTGATGTGAATTACACCGACGAGTCAGGCTACACACATTTTCATGCGGCCTGCCAGTTCAGCTGCTACGAAGCCGTTCGAAGATTCCTCGAGAACGGCCAAGATCCCAATTGTATCTGGACAGACACGGGTGATTCAGCACTACACATTGCTGTGCTTAGTGATATAGTGGAACCGCTGCTGAGAGCAGGCGCCAATCCAAATTCAGCCAATAAGGAAGGCTTGACACCTCTGCACATCCTGGCCCAACAAGACTTCGATGGTGAGATGTTAGAGCGATTTCTTCAAATCAATAACGAATTGAATCGGACGGTGCAGATTAACGCCCGTGACAAGTTGGGTAATACACCGCTTCACTTGGCTGCGAAAGAAGCCCTTGATAAGAAGATGTTCGAGGAGCTGCTGAGAGCAGGAGCCGATCCGAATGTAGTCAACGACGAGGGATCAACTCCTTTGCATATTATTTGCAAAAGAGATATGCATTTTTGCGATGACTTTGCGGAATATTTTTTGAAAATCAACGAGGAGCTCAATCAGCGGGTGCTGATCAACGCCCGTGACAAGTTAGGTAGGACGCCCCTTCAATGGGCCATGGTGAGTTGCTTGCCTGACTCGGTCGAGAGTTTGCTGAATCATGGCGCCGATCTGTCGAGCTTCGTACTTCCCACTTCGAGTCATTTCGACGAGGGCTTCGAGTCGATAATACTACCTCGATGCGATGGAAAATTTTGGTTTGGATTACCGTGTGGCCTTCTAGCCGTCATCGAGAGCCTAGAGAAAAGGGGATACGAGCTGGACCGAAGCGACGCCATGGTAATTATGAAATTGTTCGACAAGTACAAATTGTTCGAGGTGCTGGAGGATTTCGACGAGCGTTGGTACGACGACGAGAAGCTCGCGAACGAAGCGAGAGAGGAAATTATAAAATCGGACTTATCGCTCTACGATCTAATCCATTCGAGGCCCCGAGAGGTGGCGAAACGACTCAAGTACGAAGACTGCTACTCGTTAGCGAGATCAGGTGATAAGGCTTGTCGTAGGCACGCTTGCGAGATGACGTCGAGAAAATTTTTCTGGAGCTGGGCACTGGAACCTTTCTGGAAGTTGATACACTATCGGCAGCCGCTTGAGATGTGCGAATCAATCCTTGAGAACATGCAGAACAAAGATTTATATAACATTTGCTTGGCGGCTGAAGATCAAAGTGATAAGGACGTTAAGGAGGTTCGGGAGTCTCAGAGGGGGACGAAGCGGGACGCGAGGGGCTCCTATACTTCCAATGTTAAATTTTCAGCGCTGCCAACTTCGAAATAACACGAAATTGTAGGTTTTTTCAATGAGCTGGCACACAATTATAGCTATTATTAATAATTCAATCATTTTGATGAGTTTTTTTCGATTTTTTAGGCTGAAAACAATACTCTATTTGTCATTGGAGTCGAATGAGCACATATTTTTGTTGTTCTAGCTCATTTGTTGGTTAGGGTACGCGCAAATGACCCACCAATTTTTACTCATAACAATTTATTTCTCGATAACTATACGGTCGATGAACTTCTTTTTGCAGTCAAATTATTCCTTATTAAATTTCCTACATGTACGTATTTTTTTCTATTTAGTTTTTGTTTTTTTACATTATGTTTATGCTCATTGAAAGCGAAAATTCATGATTTCTCGTAAGAAACCATGTTAAAAGGTCAAAAAATTTTTTCATCATTTTAACAAAATTTTGCGGTGAAAAGTTGTATTTTGATATTAACATTCATATTATAAAGTTTCAAAGCAATTAAACGTGTTTTAAAAATTTGGCTGCATTTCGCTGAGACTCCCGAACCTCCTTAAAATAAATGTGATAACAAATGAAAAATAATGTGATAACGAAAGACCCCCAGAGCTAGAAAAGCTCTAGAAAGATTACAAATCGATGGCAGACCAAAGCTCGTAGTGTTGATGAGCATATTTTCAATATTTTTTTTATGACTGTTTTTATTCACTTGTGTATATTCTTTGTGCAATTCAAATAAATAAATAAACTAAAAAAATTACTTTTTCAAATTTCTTAGAGATTCTTTTGTATTAGATTTTAAAAAATTATTGATTTAATTTTTCATAAATACTTTTCAGTTAGTTACAAGATTCGGCAGTGAGTGTCGAGGCCACTGGTGTGGCCTCGACTTACACCATCTTACTTTGCGAAGAATTTGATTCAACATAACTTGCAAACTCGATTAGGATAAATATTATAATATCGTCAATGCAAAAATGCTTGGAATAAAAATTGAATTTGTTCAATTTTCCAATAAAAAAGTGATGGGGTATGAGTAGAAACTATCGACTGGACTGGAATTGATATGGTCTATCCATATAATAAATTCGAATAAATTCATTATCTAAATTAATTATTCAATTGAATGCAACGAACATTGTAGAAAAAAACCTTTTTTCGATGAAAATTCTCAATTTCAGTAATGTACTAATGCATTAAAATATCTCATAAGTGCTGTATTCGTAAAACATATTTATCAACATGTATTTAATTTTACATTCTTAAAATTAATGAATAATAAAATTTAAAACTGAAAACCTAAATCGAAAATTTCGATCCCATTTTCCGAAAACATGTTGAATGAAATTGTATGAGGTACAGTTGTTCACAGCATCAATACGGAGGGCTCTACAAAGTCGAAGCCCCGATTTGGATCGACCGAGCATTAAAAGCGTAAATTTAAATAACTTTTTTACTAGACGGATTTTCGAAAAACGGCGCAGTGGAGCCCTCCGTATTGTTGGTGTGAACAACTGCACCAAATTTCAGTCCATTTCATCGAGTAAGTTTCCGGGAAAACTACCCTATGAAAATGGCATAATTCACATCAACAATACGGATGGCTCCACAGAGCCATTTTTCAAAAATCAGCCTGGAAAAAAAATAAAGAAAATATACATTCATATGCGCGGTCGAAAAAAATCGGGGCTTCGGCATCGTCTTAAAAATCTTGCCTATGGACTTTTCTCTGTGGTCTCAACAATTTTTATTTCAAATCGAGTTCGTTTTTGAAAATATTGTAAATTGGAGAAAATCAATTAACTAACGAGTCATGACGCTTTTTTGAAAATAACCTGATAATCCCAAGGTTACACACCACTTTTTAAAAAAGCTAAAAAGACGTGACGCAAGCTTGACTCGGCGACAAGTAAAAGATTTAACATGTCATCGTGCGTGCCTAAACGACACCCTTATCTCTACCTAATCTGATATAAGCAAGGATGTACACTTTTTCTTTT